CAGGCCACTGTGCTCCCTGTCTTGATGATGATGGACTAAACCACAGAAAAGGTAAGTTGTCACCTAACTAAAAATGTTTTCCTTTATAGGAATTACCATGGTCATGGTGTCTCTTCATAACAAAGAAACCCCAACTAAGACAAACACCAAATGTCTTCTATTGCTTCTATGGAATATGAAAACATAGAATGTTCAATCTATTGATACTTCAACAAATATATTAAGCACTGAATCTGTAAAAGGTCTGAGATAAAATTGTGATGTCTTCCTTATTGTTCTAAAGTTTAACTGAAAATTAAAAGTTTGAACTTTGTAAAGCACATTTGTGGACAGATACCATTTTAAAAGGTTATATTAAGTTAATTTTCATTTAGTAAAACTGGAAAGAAAACCACATGTAGGTTTGGTACATTGTAAATACTATTGTCATACTCTGACTTTGGAACAATGCATTTACTTTCCAATCTGATAGATGTGGGTTCATGATAGACGGAGTGACTTTGGGTACCACTACGGCATTAATCCAGAAAGAATAGGGCAGGTATACATATATACTTACAAAGATGTGAAAGTATGCACAAGACATATGACATGTGCAAACTCAAGCTAAATGGTGTGTGTCTGTGTGGAAAGAATTATAGTCCCACCCATGACTGAAGAGCTTTGATGTTTGATAGTTGCTGTGAAAGGTAGTCTGATTTCTTTATTAAGGCTGTTACATCTATTAAATCAACCAGATTCCAGGCCAGGTCACACACATTAGAGCAGCCATCCAACAGAAAGTGGACTTGATTGACTTAAAAATTTGAGAGAAAAATGGAGAGAGATCACATTGAATGTGAGGTAAGATGGGAATGGATGTGGGATAAATTGTGGTGATGGGGTGAATGTAATCAAAATGTATGGTATGAATTCACCAAGAATTAATAACAATGTATAAAAGTATACATAAAGAAATGCATCTATTAAATTTTTTGACTGTTTTTAATATTTAGAATAGTTTAAAATGTTTAATGTATTTATTGAAAGATTTAATATACAAAGGTCCTCCAAGGCACCATTTTAATTTTTGGGAAGAATAAAATTAAATGATTTAGAAAGTAGGGGATGTTTTAATGAATAAAGAGAAAATAACAGCAGGAAGTACATGTGGGTAGTTCATGGGTTTGAGGGTTGGGGGGCAGTGGCAGTCTGAAGATACCATATCTAGAAGACAGGAGTAAAGTGCACTGAGAAAATCTAGTGAAGGTTCTTGGCTTGGAGGGAACTTGATTGATATGAACTTGAAGGATAAAATAAAATAATGAAAAAAGAATGGAAGAAACACATCCATTTATAAGAATATAAGTGGAGGCCTGCTGGTCTAGAACTGAGTTCCTAAAGTGTTCAGACACATATGAAAAATGACCAAACAAAGGAGTCCTTCATATCCATGAATAATGATTTAATGCAGTGATTTTTGTCTGTGGCCATAAATGGCAACCACTGTGGAATGTTTAAAGACTCTCTGATGAGTAAAGGATTTTTGACATTGTGAGATGGCACAGGGATCCTAAGATGATGACCATGACACCTCTTGGAGGTAAAGCATGTACATATACATAGTTAAACTGAAACAAACTTTACAGATCTGTTCCATGATTTTAGGAGCCAGAGGGGTTGAAGCTACCAAGTTCCACAGAATCAACTACACAGAGCACATAGGAGCTCTGAAACTGAAGCGGCAATCATGGAGTCTGCATGGGTCTGTGCAGGGCCTATTACATACATGCTGTGGTTGTTTAGCTTGGAGTAGGACTCCTAATAGTGGGAGTAGGAATGTCTCTGACTCTTTTGCCTGCTCACAGGACCCTTTTCCTC